GAATCAAGTGTTGTTTTTCAAGGAATAAGATGTGTTCGCTTTTACTGTATTTCAACATCTCGGTTCCTTGTATTTTTTATGATTTGTTTCACTAGTACATTTCTATCTCTGTGACAATAAAACGACTCTTTATTTCCAAACTTTACAGATAAAGCAGCGTAACTTAACTCATGGTTTAATATTCACTTGTAAAAATCTTATACATACCTCTATTGGAAAAGAGAAAACAACCGATATTTTAGCAGATTTTATGTTGAAGTTTGAATCAAGTTTGTTATCATGAACAAAAATAAAGTTCAATAAATGTCTGTCTCACTAATTGACTGAACTAACTTGTTTAAAATAATGTTTAAAACTGTCGATATCTGAAACATTCAAGAGCAAGAAAAATATTTATGATATTTGTTACGAGGGTGAAGAGAACATTTTGAGGGCAGAACACATTCCTGCCAAAAGAGGCGATCGACAGTATGGTTCATAGTGCCCAACACATGACAGGCAGCAAGATTAACACATTATAAATTGGCTCAACTGATGTGGTCCATGGATTGAAAGCAAAGGGTCGTGGATTGGGCACTCCCTTGATGGCTTATAAAAGAAAAAACAGTATAGTTGTCTGAATGGATCATATGTAAGTGATCCAATTGGAAGGACAAGAAATGAGAGCATGTTGATGGACTGCCAGAAGTTCTAGGGTGTTGATATAAATAGAGCACTCATCCTAGGTTCCAATGTCTAAAGTTCAATTGTCATTCAGAAGTACTCCCTAACTTGAGAGGGAAGCAACGGTGAAGCATTAATAATAGTACTAAACAAAGTTAGTGTTAACTCTCTTCACAAACCTGAAAGGAAAAAAAAAAGATTAGTTAAATATTTTATTTATTGTTTTTTATATTTATTTAATATAATAAAAGTAACTAAAATCTAAAAATATGGATCTTTTTAAATTATTTAAGACTAGATTAGGTAAACTAAGTAATAATAATAATATAATTAAATGGTTCACGAGGTACACACACGAGCAGCTCATGGGTAATGTAATTCGATAGTGTAATGCAACGTGCATGTTCTCAGAGTGATTTACAACTTTTTGTTGTATATAGTTAGGAACTAAGAGCTACTCAGGATAAACGAATGTAGTTTCATGTTACAATTTGAAGTCATTCTAGAAAGAAAAAAAGGTTAATTTAGGTTTATTTGGATTTTTTTTGGGGGTAACGAGGCCAGTCAAAT